GCATGGACACACACGCTTACACCGCATTCCTGCTGTAGTTCATGTGTGCATGTGAGTATGTACACGCACATGCTTACACCACATCTCTAGTTCATGTGTGCATCTGAGCATGGACACACACGCTTACACTGCATTCCTTCTGTAGTTCACGTGTGCATGTGAGCATGGACACACACACGCTTACACTACATCTCTAGTTCATGTGTGCATCTGAGCATGGACACACACGCTTACACCACATCCTCGTCTAGTTCATGTGTGCATGTGAGCATGTGCACACACGCTTATACCGCATTCCTCCTGTAGTTCATGTGTGCATGTGAGCATGCCCATATGTGCATACACTACATCTCACACAAATAAGTGTGACCACCCTGAATCAATTTCAAAAGAAACAGTCTTTTATGATAAAAGTTTAAGTTCATCAATTCTGTGATTTTCACTCATTATGTTTTATTTCTCAAAACCAAACAACTAAATGCAGTCTTGTAAATGTGTCATTGCTTATATGTTCTTCTGAATATTTCTTCATTCTACACTTGAAATTTTCCCACAGACTAAAATATTTTTAACACCAGAGCTAGTGTGTGGACAGAGCCTTCCTAGTCAGTCATGGACTTCTACAAAGTGGTAAAAAGTTTGTGTAGACCTACACGTGTTTTCCCAGTTGGGGCCTAACAAGGACATTTTGGCTGCTTTAACTCTCATAAGTAGGCATCCTGTTTGTCTAGTCAAGGCTACTTTCATTTCACTTTGACTTTTTTATTGATAGTTTTGCTTTTTAAAAAGATGACCTCCAGGCCAAGTGCAGTAGTGCAAGCCTTTAATCCCAGTGCTCAGGAAGCAGTTTGAGGCCAGCCTGATCTACAAAGTGTGCTCCTGGGCAGCCAGAACTACATAGAGAAATCCTGTTGGAAAAAAACAAAATAGAATGACCTCCAAACATAAGACTGAGCCATAGTCTAATATTTATAAGCACAGGAAAGCTGTGATGTAGCTCGTGGAAATTATGTTGGAATGATTAGCAGAACATGGGAAAATGTCATGTTTATGACTATAGCCGTTAGGCTACATTCAGGCAGGAGATAGTGCTACTTGCTGTGAATTCAATGTTAATCAATCAGCAATCTTAAATAAAGCATTTTATAATAGAAACTCATATAACAAGGTTATGTCTTGATCAGTTGATGAAAACTGTTGTGACCAGAGGCTCGCAGGAACTTAACCCTGTATTTCCCCTAGGAGCAATGGTTCAGGGATTCACGGTGACTTTACAGAACATAACTACTTCGAATAACAAGAATCAACTAAGTTAAAGTTCTGGACTTGAATGGAAATAGCAGGAAGCTCCTTCTCACCTCTTAATTGTAATGTAGGGACTTGATTGGTGTGTGTGTGTGTGTGTGTGTGTGTGTGTGTGTGTGTGTGTGTGTGTGTCCATTAAGCTAGGAGGAAAACTGAATTATTTTGGTTCAGTGATCCTTTCTGAGCACTTACTATATGCCAGTAACTATACTAGCTTTGAAGTATACAAAAACAAAAAATAGTAAGTTGGCTTCAGGAAAATTAGATTACTGTTGTTGTTATCAAGCCAACTGGCAGCTGGCTGTGCTACAGTTCAGTAATTCATAAAATTCAAAAACTTCTGTACTGATCATTCTGTGCAAGATGCACATTAAAAGACCTGGGGAAAGGCACAGTTTCTGTGTCCTTTGCATGTAGAATCAGAGTATTACCAGAAAATTTGGGAAGACCCACTAGAGTCCCACATGCAGGCCCCGTCCCCTCTTGGGTTCTTAGTCTCAGTAATAAAAAATTTAAGAACAGACTCAAAGAAATCTTTAGGGCAGTTTTATTGAGCCTTAAAAAGAAAAACTCCAGGGCAGGCAGGCTATAAATCTCAGCAGTTGCCTAGAGAAACAGAGAAGAGAAAGTGCCTCTTACAGTTAAGCATTGATTCAAAAACAGGAAGTCACTGCCAAAAACTGGTTGGAAAACTTGACACAACAAGTGAAGTAACCCAAAGGAGATGAAGATAAGGGAAAAGAAAAGAGGCCAGCTGCTCTGTGAGCAAATGTACAGAGGGTAGGAATTCTGGGAAGGAAAGGTATTATCTCATTAAAGACTAAATAATCCTCCCCTCTTTTTTTTGTTGTTGTTTTTGTTTTTGTTTGGTTTTTTGAGACAGGGTTTCTCTATATTGTTTTGGAGGCTGTCCTGAAACTTGCTCTGTAGACCAGGCTGGCCTCGAACTCACAGAGATCCGCCTGCCTCTACCTCCCGAGTGCTGGTATTAAAGGAGTATGCCACCAACATCCGGCCTTCCTCCCCTCATTTTTAACATGATACTAGGTGAATTTGCTTTCCTAAGGGTGTCCCCTTAACCAGGCAATTGACTTGCTCAACTGGATAAACTCCTTAAGGAGGAAACAGTGGCTTGTTTCACCCAAAGGTAGATTCCATTTCCATGGCTAGAAGGTTAGCTTTTGCTTAAAGAACATTTTCCTGCCACCTTGACAGTTCTTCTCTAAAGAGGTGACCCTATAATCTATTAGGAGTTGGGTTGAGATTGGGGAAAATATAACAACACACTGATGATAGAAATTTGTACACACAGTTCCAAAACTGCTCCCAAGAAGGGACTAATGTAGCTTTAGTTCCCCACCTTCCGTCTTCCTGTAGAGCATCAAGGCAGGGGGTTTGTAGGGGCAGGAAAGCAGAACTCCCAAGTGTCCTGGCCAGAGAATTGAGGTGTGAGATTCAAGTTCCATGCCAGGAAAGAACACAGGTCATGAGAGGCCAGGAAGTTTAAGAAGATGTCAAGAGTCTCAGGCAGATAGGACATAGGCTGTTCACTCCAGGCAAAGGCCTCAAGGCACACACAAAGCCATGCATAGGAAGACAAGCATGTAGACAGATACATGTGGGCAAAATCCTCTGTCCCCAAGACCACATTTATACAAAGCCCATGTGAATGTTGCATTTTGCCAAAAATAGTAATATAAAAGATGACATCACTGTCCACTTGAGGACTCCTCCACCATGCAGCGCTTACATCACAGCCCTTGCATGTCTAGTATTAACTGTGCTGGATATCCATAGTGTTTGTAGCAATGCCATGTTATCTAAACATACATTGTCCTTTGTGGCCAGCCCTCTGCTGCTTGCACAAGGACATTTCAGGACATGGTGCTTTGGGCTCCCTGTCCCATCTGATCAGTTTTCGGTTCTCACCCTGAAGGTTTCCTCTTCTGGGCCTATCTGTGTGTTAACTTTGGCATCCAGAGTTTTTAGATAGAATTTTATGTATGAGACTTTATATCATTGATTTAACTCAAACTTTAGTACCTTTCCCATAACTGGAACTTAAGTAACTGAAAGTTCCAACCCTTTCATCATGTGTTTGGGGTTTCCTGTGATCAGATTATATCCTGGAACTAGCATTACCTCATTAGCATAACAAACTATCTGTCACTTTGAGCTTTTGATGCATTGCCCAGAATGAGCAAAGAACAATCAATAAATTCTCTATCACCTACTTGTAAAACAGGAAATAAATTGGAGTGTAGGTGTTTTTAGCCAGAGAGAAGAATGTATGTAAAAGCCCCAAAAGATGAAAGAATTTGTGAGAATAAAATGTCATTTTAGTTAAGGGAATTTGTCCTTTTGAAATAGGAAATGATTGGAAAGGAATCTGGAGATGGGAGCTCTGGGCAGGGTTGTGGGAGCAGGAAGTCCCAAGTTCTGTTCACATTAAGGCCTTGGGACACATCTTAGTAGGCAGTTTCAGACACAGAGTAGACAGACGAATGTCATGAATTCCTGTGTCCTGGGACATATTAATTCTGTTCTTGGCTTCATCTACCCTTACCCCAGCATATTTTGTTGCAGATTTTAAGCATTGTAGAATTTTAGCCGTAAATATTTTCTTATCTTTCTAAATGTAAACTTAAAATGAACATAATTCCAGTGTCATCTCAGAATTTTTATCATGTTCTTTTATATCAGATATTCAATCATTGCTCAAATTGTCAAGTCTATAGCGTTTTCTAAAAAGAGTGCATTAGTTTCTGATATTAAGTTTAGACATGTCATACTTTAATCTAGAGTTTTGTGATTTAAAAAGTAGTGTAGGAGCAGAAGGTTTGTATTCATCCTTTTTAGCAGTGTAGTGGCAAGTCCCGGCGCTTGATGAAAGTCCTGGCATACCCTGTCCATCGTGTTGCTTGAGTAGCCTTGGGAAGGATTTAAATGTGCTAATATACTTTGGAAAGATATCCACTATGGAAAAAGAACTAAGTGGACTCTGAGTGGGTGGATGAGAAGGATGTCCAAGGGAGGGCAGAAGGATGTGGGAGAGAGTTTGATGATAGCCATGGCCGCAGAAGACTATGAGTGGAGCTTAGGTTTGAAGTAAACTGTTGGCAGTAAAGGTGGGAGGGTTTAAAGTGTTAGACAAACTGGTGGTAACATTTGGATACACTCAGGGTAAGATATGATTATTAAATTTAAGTGATTGGTAAATATGGTGAGACCACTCCGTAAAACAGAAAAGTCATAGTGAAGTGATTGGTGCTTGGGAAGATTAAATGAAGATGATATTTTGTGTGGTAGAAAGAAGAAAAAGATGACTTACAAATGTGAGGAGTAACTCAGTCAGCTCTTTGAAAGCTATCACTTTATTTAAATGAAGGATGGTAGTGAATTAATGTGCCCAGTCACCTGCAGAGTTCATGTCAGTTTCATTTATGGAACAGTACAGTGTTAGAAGCCTATACAACATAGGAGGGCTGGCATGTAGTAAGTGCATCTAAGTGTTGGCTGGTATGCATCTAAGAAGCTTTGAAAGGCTTAAGCAGCGATGTCTGTTTGTATTATAGTGTCACCTGATTATTTCCCTACAGTGTCTTCATAAATTGGAAACTCAGTAAATATTTGTAGAATAAATAATCTGGTAAGTTTAAATGACTTACTTAAAAGGACTTTTTTTTCTCCCTTAGTTTGAGATGGTATCAGCATCCTTCAGAAGAAGAACTAAGAATCCTTGCAGGGAAGCAGCAGAAAGGAAAGAACAAGAAGGACAGGTGAGTTAGTTACCTGATGAGCTTCTGAGGTTAAAATGTAACATCATATGTGCAGATACAGTTTATGCTTTGATTAAAGCAATTTCAGATCAGAATCCATGCAGATTCCAGTAAAATAGCAATTTAAATATAAGCAAAAAATAGTAATTGTTGTACTTAAAGATTAACCATTCTTGAGTGGTTAATATATTTAATTTAGCATCAGAACCCATAAATCTCAGTAAGTGAAAACAATATTTAAATGCAAGTCAGTTGTTATTTTACTTAAAAATTGTTAACATTTTACTTAAATTATGAAAACAATATTTTATAGATATTTACTTGGGTTCATTAAGAGAAAAGCTGCAGTGATGTCTACAAGTCTTTCAAAGATGTTTGGGAATCTCTACTCTATCATGCCACTGCCTTACATTGTGTTTCTGGATAGACTGGCCTATGGACTTAGACTTAGACATTGCTTTTCCTCAAGGTGCTACTAAGCAAGAGCTCCTCACTGAGCTTTAGCCCTGCCCCCAGCTCTTTATTTGTCTGTTTAATGTTTTAACTATCTGCTATCTGAATGACCACAGTGACTTCAGTGAGTTGAAACAATTGAACATAGTCATACTGAAGGTCTCCTCTGACTTAAGTTGCGAACCTGTATTTAACCCTGAGAAAATCCACATTGATGTCTTCTCCACATTAGCTTTAGTTTCCTCAACTGGGGTCAACTCAGGCTTCTTTTTTTTCACTTATTGCAATATACATTGAAGTTCGTTGGCTTATTAATCATGATCCTTCCACTTTTTAATTTTCAGTAGTTCTTTAATAAAGTATTCCTAACCAATGTTATAGTTAACAAAATACTTTATGCAACTTAATATAGCCACCCTAAATAACTTAATTTTCATTTCACTGTAAACCTGTTGATTAGAAGTGTTGAATGAGGGCTGAAGTAATGGCTTAGTGATGAAGGACACTGGCTGTTCTTCCTGAGGTCCAGGGTTCAATCCCTGGCAACCACAGGGCAGATCACAAACTGTGACTCCAGGTTGATTGGGTATGATGCCCTCTTCTTACCTCCAAGAGCACTGCATGCATATAGAACACAGATTCTGGCAGAAACACAATAAAAAACAATCTTAAAAGTATCAAATGAATTTCCCAAGCTTGTATACTTAAGGACCAGGATTTTAGTCCAGATTAGTTTTAGTTACTTTTTTGTTTTCAACACTAAAACTCTTCAGTCATTGTTACCTTTTTAAACAATTGTGGAGTTTAATTATGCAGTATACTTTTCATTTTGTAAATATTTGGATTCTTTTTACATGTCTTATAATCTGCTATTTTCCTTCTTTTAGAGTGGGTTTCATGTAGCCCAGTCTGGTAACAGAGGAGGACCTTGAACTTTTGATCCTCCTGCTTCCAATTTCCAATAGCAGCCATGTATCACCACTCCTGATTATGGTATCCTGGGATCAAACCCAGGGCTTTATGCTAGGCAGGCAGGCTTGTCTCAGTGTTGTAATTTCAGAAAGATGCAGTGAAGATATTCTCATCTTACTAACAGCAATAATCATGGTTTGATTTACTTACATAAAGTTTATCACTGAGATCCCTGCATTTTTACTTATTCAAGAGTGGATATAATGTTGAAAATAATCTTATTAAAACTGGGCTTATTACTTTCTATATTCATGTGATTGTCCTTAAAACTTAAACTTAGGAGTGATGCAAGTACACTTAAAGATCGTTGCTGGTCCCCTCTGAAAATCTTTGTAGGCACCTCCAACATTTGCCTTTCGTGTTTCTGAATTTCTTACAAACATTAATTTTAATATACTCATTCATCTGACCTACATATTATTACAGCTGTTTGTATGTATATGTGAGCACATCATTTCACAGAATTTTATTTTCTCTTCCTCTCCTTTAATCTTGTGCCTATGTAAGAGATACTAGATTGCTTTCAAGTTTGCAATAGAAAGTAGGAAAAATGGGTGTAAAACATTATACTAGCAAGCAAGATTTTGTTACTCTTTTCTAGTTTAGTTACTCTTTCTGGTCAATTACACAGTAACATAATTTACTTCAGCATTTTGTTGTCTCCTCTGAAAAACTGTTTTTGAGTATCTGACCTCCTTTAGGATGACATTAGAGTGAAACTTAAAATCTCTTTTGCATTTAGTAGGATATGAGCACTTGGATAACTAATTGTTTTTTGTGTCACTTGTCTAATTTTTGCAGAAAATACAATGGTCACATTGAAAGTAAACCACTAACCATTCCAAAAGATATTGACCTTCATCTAGAAACCAAGTCTGTTACAGAAGTGGATACTCTAGGTAAGGGAGTCCTGTAAGTGTTCTGCTTACGCCAGTCCGTGGCAGCAAATACCCTTTGCTTGTTGTGGCTATGCTTTTATTTGTTTATGGGGTAAAATCTATGTGTTTTCCTAGTTATAAGTTCATTCTACAGAGCATGGAGTCTAACACATGTGTTTGTCCAAGTGAACTGAACAGCTCCAAATGACTTTACTAAGTGACATTTTTCTTTTCTCTTTATATCGTATTATTTTCCCCAGTTCAGGAAACCAGCATGCTTACTCAACCTTCTTACATCTTCTGGTTTTTAGGCTGCAATCAGTCTTATGATCATAACTTCCAAAACTTATTTTCTATAATATACTTTAATAATGCACTTTAAACTATATTTTGCATATTGAGGTATCTGAATTTTAATAAACTATCTAATAGTGTTAGGTATTAAGAAGTTGAAGAAATTATTCACAGATGATCTTTATCCATTGAATGCATCAAAATAAATAATTTCCTTTTCCTCCTCAGTTTCTGTAATAAGACTATAATGATTTTAACTTTAAAATGAATTTTATATGAAGCTAATTGAATCCTAGAGGGGAAAGGCATCTGATGTTGCACCTAACGCTGGTTTTCAGACCTTATACATTCATATTACTTGAAGAAATCTTTAAAAATAAAGATTCCTTACCCTCTTTAAAAATCCATTGGCTCTAGAATAGGTTCTGGGAATTTGACTTCAAAAGTGGAACAAGTGATTTTAATTTATAATCAGATGAGAGAACCACTGTGTTATGCAGCGTACATTCTCCCTGCCAGCCTGGTCCCGAATGAACACACAGAGCACTGTATTAATTATGAAGCTGTTGGCCGTTTGCTATAGTTTCTCATTGCCTACCTCTGACTTAATCATTAACCCGTAATTACTAATCTGTATAGTTTTACAAGTACTTATCTTACCGAGGACACAGCCTCATGTGTCCTTTCTTCCTGAGGTCACATGATGACTCTCCAATCTTGACTACATTTCTCAGAATTCTCCTCAACTCCTAGTCCCACCTATCTTGTTTCCCTATTGGCCAACAATGCTTTATTCATCAACCAATAAGAGAGACATATTTGCCTGGCGGTGGTAGCCACAAGCCTTTAATCCCAGCACTCGGGAGGCAGAGGCAGGTGGATCATGTGAGTTCGAGACCAAACCTGGTCTACTGAGCGAGTTCCAGGACAGGCTTCAAAACAATACAGATAAACCCTGTCTCGAAAAAAAACCAAAAAAAAAAAAAAAAAAAAAAAAAAAAGAGAGAGAGAGAGAGACATATTTACAGAATGACATCTCCCATCAGATACATAAAAAGTGAGGAAGTAACACATTAATCAATACTTTTTATTTAAAGAAATGTCATACTTTATATTCTAATCAGGATTTCCTTCCTGTAAGTCCTCTAGGTCCTCCCACTTCTCTACCCTCTCAATTCCATGCTCTTCCCCCCCTTCTTTAGAAAATAAAACAAGCTGAGGTGGTGGCGTATGCCTTTAATCCCAGCACGGGGGGGGGGGGCAGAGGCAGGTGGATCTGTGAGTTTGAGAGCAGCCTGGTCTACAAAGTGATTTCCAGGACAGCCTTCAAAGCCACAAAGAAATCCAAAGGGAAAAAAAAAAATATAAAACAAAACAACAGCAAAAAATAAACCAGAATTAAAAAGAGAAAAGTCACAAGAAACACACATACACTCCATCAACAAAAACCATAAAAATACAAAGTCGGAAACCATAATCAACAAGCAAAAGATAGTTAAGACAAAAATGCCCAAACTACTTTGAGACAAAAAGTTTACAATAATACCATAGAATTTATTTTGTGTTAGCCATCTTTGCAGGAGACTTATCCTTTAGTGTAGTTAATATACCCAATGAGACTCAATTGGCGAAAACTAATTTTTCCTTTGTAAGCCAGTGTCGTTTGGAGATAGCTTCTTCATTAGGAATGGATTCCCATGTCCACTACTCTTTTTCAACATTGGGACCCCATCTGACTTAAACCTTTCCAGGTCCTGTGCATGCTGCCATAATCTTTGTGAGCTCCTATGTGCGTCAGTGTTAGTCTTGTGTGTCTGGGCGACACTGTTTCCTTGAAGTCATCCATCATATCTGACTTTTACAATCTTTCCTCTTCCTCTACCACTTGTCTTCCTGAACCCTGTAGGGAAGGATTTGATAGAGAGCAACCAATAGCCTGAGATGTTTAGGGGTCTCCATGGAACCTCTTTGACCAACAACACATCTAGATGTAACCCATTCCTGTCACTGAAGTTTTCACTTGGTGGCAAAAGATGACTAGTTGGGGCATTGTTATTAGTGACACCAATTATATTTCATTCATGTTAGGAAGCTTCTATAGTTGTAGGCATCCCTATGAACCCTCAACTGGCCTTTCGTGTTAGGTGTCCCTCCTGACATTCCCCTTACCCCTCTATTCCATCTTCCTCCCCTGTGTCTTCATGCTGTATATTTTATTTCAGCTTCCTTAGGAGATCCTCCCCACCCTGCTAGTCCCTTATTCTGTACCTAATCTCTGTTGTTATATGGATTATAGCATACCGGTTGAAGCTAGCAAATATACCATATTTGTCTTTCTGGGTCAAAATTACCTCCCTCTAGATGATTTTTCCTAGCTCTGTCCAGTTACCTGCACATTTCATAATTTCAGGGTCTTTCTTTAACAACTGGGTAATATTTCATTGTGAAATGTACATTTTCATTGTCCATCAGTTGCTGGATACTTAGGTTGTTTCCTGTTTTTGGCTATTGTGAATAGACTAGCAATGAACATGGTTGAGCAAGTATCTCTGTAGTAAGATGTAGAATCCTTTGGGTATATGTTTAAGAGTGATATAACTGGATCTTAAGGTACATTAATTCTCAGCTTCCTGAATAACTGCCACACTTCAGTAGTGACTGTGCAAGTTTGCACTTCCAACAGCTATGAATGGTGTTCCCCTTACCCCACATATTTGACAGCATCACCTGTTACTTGTTCTATTGATCTTGGACATTCTTACTAGTATAAGATGAAATCTCCAAGTTATTTTTGTTTGCATTTCCCTGATGATTAAGAATGTTGAACATTTCGTTGTGGTTCCACTTTTGAGAATTTTCATTTTAAATCTCTACTACATTTTTAAATTGAGCTATTTGTTTCTTGATGTCCAGTGTTTTTTCTTTATATAATTTATATAATAGCCCTCTATTGGATGTGTAGTTGGTAAATACCTTTTCCCATTCTGTAGTCTGCCACTTGGTCTGAATGATGGTGTCCTTTGCCATACAGAAGCTTTTCAGTTTCATGAAGTTCCATTTATTAATTGTTCTTTGTATAAGTACTATCATTGTTGTGTTCAGAATGCCTTTTCCTTTGTCAACAAGTTCAGGACTATTCTCCACTTTCTTTTCTATCAAATTCAGTGTATCTGACTTTAAGTTGAATGTCTTAATGCATTTAAAGTTGTGTTGTGAAGGGTGATAAATAGGAATCTGTTTTAATTCTTGTATATGCATCCATCCATTTTGACCAGCATCATTTGTTGAAGATGCTATCTATTTTACCACTGTATATTACTGGCTTCTGTGTAAAAAATCAGGTGTGCATAGGTGTGTGAACTTATGTGTGGGTCTTCAGTTTGGTTCCATTCATCAGTATGTCTTATTTTATAACAATAACATGATGTTTCCATTACTTCAGCTCTGTAGTACTCCTTGGCATAGGGTATGATGATATCTCTAGCAGTTCCTCTAGTTTTCATATGAAACTAAAATTTTCCCTGGTGGGGGAAGCCCTTCTGTGTATATGCTTGTCTGATTGGTTGATAAATAAAGCACTGTTGGCCAATAGGGAAGCAAGTCTGATTGGTTGATAAATAAAGCACTCTTGGCCTATAGGGAAGCAAGATAGGTGGGACTAGGAGTCGAGGAGGATTCTGGGAAATGTAGACAAGAATAGAGGGTTGCCATGTGATCCTGGGAGAAGAGGGCGCAAGTCTGGCATTTTCAGTAAGATGAGACCTTACAAAAATATGTATTAGTAATTACAGGTTAATAATTAAGTCAGAGCTAGCCATTAAGAAACATGGCAAATGGCCAACAGCTTCATAATTAATATAGCATCCTGTGTGTTCATTTGTAACTGAAGCATGCACGTTACATTAACCTTTCAATTTCTATGAAGAATTGCTTTGGAATTTTAATGGAGATTGCATTGAATCTATAGATTAATTTTGGTAGGATGGCCATTTTCACTCTATTCCTGCCAATCAGCGAGCATGGGATAGCTTTTCTTCTTTAATTTCTTTTTTCAATATCTTAAAATTTTTATTATACAAGTCTTTTGCTTACTTGGTAAGAGTTATCCTAAGTGTTTGTATTCTGTTTTTTCTTCAGTCTATTGTGAAAGGTATTCTTTCCTTGATTTCTCTCTCAGCCAGTTTGTCGTTTGTATACTAATCTTTGTTAGTTTTGTATCCTGCTGTTTTGCTTCAAGTGTTTATTAGCTATAGAAGTTTCCTGGTAGAGTTTTTAGGGTCCTCTATGTATAAAATCATATCATCTGCCAATAATGATACTTGGACTTCTTCTTTTTCTATTAATGTTGTTGGTCTTCAGTTGTCTTATTGTGCAAGGTAAGATTGCAAGTACTTTATGTTGAATAGGTATAAAGAGAATAGACACCTTTGTCTTTTTGTTGGTTTTACTAGAAAGTCTTTGAGTTTCTCTTAATTTAGATCAATGTCAGCGGTGGTTTTACTGCAAGTGACCTTTATGATGTTGAGATGACCTTTGGATCCTTAGTCTCTCTAGGACTTTTATCATGAAGGAGTGTTGGATCTTGTCAAAAGCCTTTTCTGCAACTAATGAGATGATCATGTGGGATTTTGTACTAAATGATGCTTATTTAGTGGATTATGTTTTTCTCTTTACATATGTTGAATCATTCCTGCATCTGCGGGTTGAAGTCTACTTGATCATAGTAGGTGATCTTTTTGATGTGTTCTTGGATTCAATTTGCAAGTATTTTATTAAATATTTTTGTGTCTGTGTTTGTTTCTTCAGTTACTATTTTGGGGAATCATTTGAGGAGTACCAATGTTAATTCTTTGAAGATCTGTTAGTATTCTGTGCTAAATTTATCTGGCCCTGGACTTTTGTTGGTAGGTAGACATTTGATTACTGCTTCTGTTTCACTAGGGGTTATAGGTATATTTAGATTGTTTATCTGATCTTGGTTTAACTTTGTTAGGGTGTATAGATCAAGAAATTTATCCCTTGGAGGGAGTGTCCTGTTAGATAAAGTACAGATTTTAAAAATCTATCCTTATGATTCTCTGGATTTCCTAGGTGTCTGTTGTGATATCCCTCTTTTCATCTGATTTTAATAATTTGGATAATCTTTCTCTCCCTTTTATTTAATTTTACTAAAGGCTTAAATAATTTTACTGGTTTTCTCAAACAAACAACCCTTTGTTTCTTTGGCTCTTCTTGGTTATTAGTTTCTATTTTATTGATTTCAGCTCTTCATTTGATTATTTTTTTTTCCTGTCTACTCTTTTGGGGTGTTATTTCTTTTTGTTTTAGAACTCTCAGGTGTGCTGTTAAGTTGCTCATATGAGATCTCTCCAGTTTTTTATGTAGGTACTCTGCTCTGTGGACTTGACGCTTAGAACTGCTTTCATGCTGTCTCATTTTAGATTTATCTGTTGAAACTTGTTTTGTGACCAGTATATGGTCAAGTTTTTGAGAAAGTTTCTTGAGGTGTTGAGAAGAAGGTATATTCTTTCGTGTTTGGGTGAAATGTTCTGAAAATATCTGTTAGGACCACTTGGTTTATAACCACTGTTAGTTCCAGCATTTCTGTTTAGTTTTTGTTTGGATGTCTGCTGGCGAGAGTGGGGTATTGAAGTCACCTACTAACACTTTTGAGGGTCAGAATGTGTTTTGTTGTTGTTGTTGTAGTTATTTTATGAACTTGTATTCCATGCATAGATATTAAGAATTTCAGTGTCCTTTTGGTAGATTTTCCTTTGATGAGTTTGTAGTGTCATTCCCTGTCTCTTCTGATAAGTTTTGGTTTGAGATCTATTTTGCCATATATTAAAATGGTTATATTAGGTTAAATAATACTTCAGGTAATAGATAAAGTATTATTTTGTAATTTGATTTTTCCTTGGATTAAGTCATACCAACTTCAACAAAACCATAGCAGGTTTATCTAGCATCTTATATAAAATTATTTTATGATATAAAGTAACGTCAGACATTACCAGTGAAGAACTTTGTGAACCAATCCCTTAAACTCCCTTAAACATTTAAGATTGACAACCATCCTTTTTCTTATTACTTTATCTTCTAAACACCTGGTTATTTTGATTAGCAGTTGTAACATTTGTTTTTATGAGTTCTGTATGTGTGTTTGCTCACTTATTTTTATATATTGCTGCTGTCTTATTATCAACTAATATTTATTGAAAAGTTACCAGCTACTTCGCCAAACACTGTATCAGTATTATAGTCAGAGGTCTTGGGGGTAGGTATCAGTACCAAGCCTCTTTTTTTATTAAATTTTTTTTAAGTTAGAAACAAGCTTGCTTCACATGTCAATCCCAGCTCCCTCTTCCTCTCCTCTTCCCCCGCCCTCCCCACCAGGTTCCCCAGTCCCCTACCCAAAACTCGTTTATATAAAATTAAATAACAGGACAGTTATATTCTGTGTGTTACAAAACCATTGATAACTTGGCTATTTTAACTTAACACACTTAGGTGATGTGACTTTCTCATGTAATTTAACATATGATTTCACATAGACAGTTGTGAGAAGCACTTGCAAATGGTACTAGTTTAACAACTGGTTATTTAATATCAAGAACATTCTTGTTTAGCACAGTAGCAGAGATGTTGTTTGTGTGTTTTTGCAAATGTATGTGCGCATGCACAGGTATGCAGATGGGTTTGTCTCAACCTCGTTTCCTTTTTGTGGTACTCCTTCCAAATGTGTCATACAAGCAAGCACTTTACAACTGAGCTCTCTGCCCTCTATGAGCTTCTTTTGATTCCCAGTTTTCTATTGAAGAAATGTATATGGTTATATTATTAAATAGAAATAAAAGACGTGATCATATGGGTTAATATATGGCTGAGAATATAGTCCTTTGGTTGCCTATGTACATAATTGATAACTATCACACTCTGGAGGATATAAAACACTATATTTTGTAAAGTTTAAATCAAATGAAATACATAGAATAATAGAATTATATGTACTATCAGAAAATTTTATTTTGAATATAAGTGCTGAATGATAGAACCATTTAATGAAGAGCTGTGGTTTTATGTAAAATCAGCACTATATCAGGTTTTTTTTTTTCTAAGAGAAAAATAAGAAGTGTGTTTGTTCATTTACCGTTGTGTGCAGTAACTCACAAATCATTAGTCCTCCATCAATGGTTAAGAGAAAAGTTTAACTCTGAAATGATATGTAAACCTTTTGTATTTTAAGCCAAGTTGTATTCATTGAAGTTAAGGTTAACAAAGAAAATTATTCACATAAATTTTATAAAATTGGTTAAGGAAACGCCAATATATTTACATTTGTGTTTTAACAGCAATTTAAATAATTTGTGGTAATCAGTCCAGGGTTTTCACTACTTAATTTATGAACTATCAAAATTTAACGTTAAATGCTAAAATTTGACTGTCTTCTACATGTTTGTATCTGCAAATTTTATAGTTCAAGTAAAGTCTCATACTTGGAGTTCTATGGGTAGACCCTCATGAGCTTAACATTTAACTGAGACTTTTGTTGCCCTTTGTTTTCCAGCATTGCATTATTTTCCAGAATACCAGTGGCTGGTTGATTTCACAGTGGCTGCTACCGTCGTGTACTTGGTAACTGAAGTCTATTACAGTTTCATGAAGCCTACACAGGAAATGAATATCAGCCTAGTCTGGTGCCTCCTGGTTTTGTCATTTGCAATGTATCCTTCAAAACATCATTAACATTGTGAACTTACTTGTTTTTTGTACTTACACCATTAGACCTTGTATTTAATTTTAAAAGATTTTGTCAGTTGTTAGAAAATTTTCCTTTGTTGAATTCTTGACAGAATTTTTAGGGTATATCAAATTTATTCTTCAGCAATTTCTTTACATATACAGTGTAACTTGATCGTATTCAATGGAAATTTTTTATGTAACTTCTTAAAATGTCAGCATAGTTGGATAGTTTTAAAAGTTCAGTGTAGAGAAAAGTGCCAGCTCTTTTCATTCCCTTTTTATCCAAGTAGAGGCAGAAAAGCCAGCAGACGTTCTTTAAGGGGCCTTCTGTGCCTGTGATTCAGGACAGCTTTCCGTCCAGGTGCTAATTTTGATATTGGGACATTAGATACTGTTATGATATTTCCTTTCCCTCTTCTATTCCCCCCAATAGAGATAGCATTTTATTAATTTTCAGTCAGTTTCACAGTGCTACCTATGAAGATATTGTTTGTAGCAAAACATATTTTATTACCTTTCCTGAATAATTTCTTTTTGATTTATAGAAGCAGCTTTTCCAGAGTGAGCAATGGTGCATCATAGATCAGTACATCATTTCTGTCTTGTTTCCTGTAGAACTATCCTTCTGGAGCCCTCGTTTGTTTATAAACTACACAGTTGTGTTAGTGCATTTAAGGTAATGGTGGGCAGGGAGCAGAGGACAGCTTGGCAGGAGCCAGTTTTGCCCACCATGTTGCTCTCAAACCAAACTCTGTTCCTCAGGCAGGGTGTGGAGCACCTTCTGCTTGGCCATCCCTAGTTCTGTTTTCATAAAACTTTGCATAGCTCTTATCCTGGAACATTATTCAATGTTGCTATCTTCCTAAGAAATTCCGTTTCCCTTTTGATCTCTTCCTTTACTAACTTTCTTTTTGTAAGCACGAACTCTTCTTTGGTATCTTTAGAAAGGGTGGTTTTTGAAGTTTTGTGTACTAATAATTATTGATTGATAATTTGACTTAGTAGAAAATTCAAAAATAGTTTTTCTTCAGAATTCTGAAGTGTTGAAGAACTCATATTGTCCTTTTTCCTCCCACCTAAATACAGCACTCCTGGAACTTGTTTTCTTTGTTTTGTATTCTGAAATTTTGCCCTTGAGTCCAATTTACCCTTAGATACCCTTGATGTTATTCTGGTAAAGCTGCCAGTTTGGGAATACATGTTCATGAGTTCTAGGAAACTTTTTTATTATTTTTTAATTATTTCATGAGTTTTTCTTCATTTTGAACATTGTGGGGATGCTTATTGTGGAGGAAGTAGAGGATCCTATGTTAGCATCTGGAATTGTCATCTGTATTTCATATGTATGGTCATTATAATTTTAGGTTTCCTGGGAGATATTCTTAACTGTTTTATTATGTTTCTTGTTTAGACTTTTCTACTATTTTAAAATGTTCATGAGTTCTTCGTGATTTTTTTTTTGCCCCTTCTGTGAAACTCTGCTTCTTTTATGACTTACATTATTTGTGTCTTAAGGTATTAATGATAAATATTCTTTATTGAATGTTTCTTTCTCAGCTTTAGTTACAGTTGATGCTTCTGTGATGATATACATGCTTCTTATGCAGATTATTTTATGTGGTGTAGCCATTAGTATATTACTACCAGAAACAAGCACATGTTTAACTAGTTACTCACATATTTTCTGTCATTTTTCATTTTATTTCATATTGCTTAGTATGATGGCAGCAATCATACACAATCTTTAGCAGTGCACTAGCTCTACTCCACTTAACTAATGTTCTTATGAAAGGCACCAAACAATACTGTCTTCCCACAGGAATATCAAGGTTTCTGTAGATAGTATAGAAAGTGGTAGAGTGTACAATTCAGGTCTTTTTTTTTTTTTTTTTAACTTTGACTCTCTGAAAAGGTTAGGGAAGAAGAAGGAAGTAGAATTGCATATGTGACTGAGTATGTGAGTTTTTTGTTTAACACTGGGTGTGAGAATAATAACCTATCGTAGTTATGTACATTCAAGAGACCAGAATTAAATGCCAGGTATCTGGATTCACTACAAAGAAGAGAGTCTTGACAACCTGTGCCTGTTCTAGCTATACCAACTGTTTTCAGCTTTAACTGTATAAACTCAGCCTACTAGAAGTGACTGTGTCTGGGACTTTATTTCATTATTCTATGTCTCTACTTAGGAATCGAACTCAGGTCTCCATTGACTTCATGGGCAGTAGAGCTGCTGAATTCCAAACACATATACATTAATTGATTCAGAAAGTCTCTGCAGTTGTTACTAATGAAATGAGATACATGTAACTTAATCAGCTCAGTGAATAGTCATGAACCAATTGCTTTATTTCCATAATCATTTGTTTCCTTTCTTCCTTCAGTATACTGACAAATTTCATAGGACAGCAGAATTGACTTCTGTAGTATCTTGAGAGTCCTAAAAATATGAGAATAAGATTTCGAATGCATGATACTAAAGCTTCAGTGTTGGAACCTGGAAATGTGCCACCTCTTGTCATGAGTCTTCTCCCCACCCCCACCCCCACCCCCACCCCCATACAGGGTTTCTCTTGTCCTGGAAATTATTCTGTAGATCAAGCTGGCTTCAGACTCAGAGGTCCATCTGTCTTTGCCTCCCAAGGGTTGTGATTAAAGGTGCACCACACCTGTCAGTGTACTTTAAACTCACAGTAAGACTTAGCTCCTTTTTTCTTTGCTTTGTAACCCTGATCATCACTGGTGACCCACCCAGTCCTTCATGTCTCAGTTCCATTTATGCCACCTGTTACAGTGTCAGGAAGACAGCTGTGAAGCCTTGCAGCACAGGGTAGCAGCTGTAGTAACCGTCTTTGCTTTGTGTTTATGTCTTAGAATTATGGGGAAATGTCTATTAATCTTATGATTATGAAACATAGCATTCTCATTTATGAATAAATGGAAAGTAAAAATGTAAAATTGGCATAAGAAATAACCGGTGCTCCTGTGATACAAATAAAATGTTTAAATGTTAAAATAGTTTACAACATACAGGTAGAAACTTTCTTTAGAATAAACCATAGTACTGCATGGCTGTGTTAATTATATTAATTTCAAGAAGAAAAGTATGCTGCAAAGAATGCTAAGGTTTCTCAGACCTTTTGTGCTTGGCTAAAGAACTAAATCATTAGTCACATTTCCAGTGTTTGTATTATACAGTGTCAAAGGTATAAGCTACAAAAGGCGTTATGCATGTTTTTATACCTGGTTGTTAATTTGCCATTATTGTGGACATACAAACTTTTAAAAACCAAAAGTTGTAAATAGTTTAAGTGGAAATGAGTTCTAAGGTTTTCCAATTGAGTTAGTTTTATTTATAGACGTGCAAAAGTATATGAATTAAACAAACACTACCTATTTGGTGTAGGAAATACATAGCTATAGCAAAACAGTACAGCTCACTTGCCATTTCTAAATCCCTTAAAATGTTGTAAATTACTTATTCTTCCTCTGTACAAATGTTTCTCTTCTGAAGTAGCCTTTATAGACTAAGCCTGCTTGGTAACTCCAGACTTGTTTGTTAAACATTTACAGGCCTTGTGACATTAGTCCTTTCAGGGCACTAAGGTTTCTGGTCAGAAATAGGGAGCTAAATCTGAATAATAGGACCTTCTTTCTGTCTATTGATGTCTAATTAGTATGACTTTCTCCTATTAGCTGGGAAGTGCTCATTTTCTTTCTGAAACTAAAGCAAGGGTGGCCTTCTTTGTTTTATTTTAATCTAGAACCTTGGTCATTTTGTTTTTAAAATAAAGCTCATATTTATTGCTTTCAGATATCTTTAATTAGTATTTTCTTCTACAATCTGGTTAGATTGAATCTGGCTGACTGTAAGTTTGTTTGTGACATAGTTTAGAACATGCATGATAATTTTACTAACATCTGGGAGAATTTATTTATTTTTCAGTTTAAATTTAGATTAGAAACAAGGTTGCTTCACAAGTCAGTTCCAGGTCCCTCTCCCTTTCCCACCCCTCCTCCCGTGCCCTCCCCCCAACCCCTCCCAAAACCCCTCATTTCCCCAGGAAGGGTGAGGCCCTCCATGGGGGTGTCCATAGTCTGTCATTTCATCTAGGGTAGGGCCTAGACCCTCCCCCAAGAGTTCAGGGTGAGAGTGCATCTCACATTGTTGGATGGGAGTCCAAAGTCCGTGTGTATACTCAGGATGAGTACTGATCTACTGTCTAAGGCTCAATAGATTACCTATCTGGGAGAATTTTATATTCCTTGTTTCTGAGTAATAATTAAGCTTGCAATCAAAAACTGCAAATAAATTTTAAGGTAATGTTACAAACTTTTTGTACCATTGGAACGATTGTCTTTAAAAGGATTTTATTGGATAAGTCATAGGAATGAATGTGCTTATTTTTAGCTTTAAATGTAATAGAATTTTAATATTATTTTTAGACTTTTGTTTGTCTATTTGTTTTGTAGTATAGAATGAAAAATGTAATATGTTTCAAGTATTTTAGTTGCCTTTCCACCAATTAAAAATAGACATGTGAGCCGGGCGTTGGTGGCGCATGCCTTTAATCCCAGCACTCGGGAGGCAGAGGCAGGTGGATCACTGTGAGTTCAAGACCAGCCTGGTCTACCGAGCGAGTTCCAGGACAGCCTCCAAAGCCACAGAGAAACCCTGTCTCGAAAAACCAAAAAAAAAAAAAAAAATTGCCTGCAAATTTCAGGCAAATGGATGGCACTAGAAGAAACCATACTGAATGAGGTAACCCAGTCACAAAAAGAGAAACATGGCATGTACTCACTCATTTATGGATTTTAGACATGAATCAAGGGGGTGCCAGACTACAATCCCATTGCCAGAGAGTCTGGGAAACAGAACCTTCATCCAGGGACTGATGAAAGCAGAGGCAGATACCCACAGACAAACACTGAACTGAACTCGTGGAATCCAGTGTCAGAAAGAGAGAACTGATGGGCAAAG